TAAGAAAACCACGAGTAAGGGCTTGCCTTCATTAAAAAATAAGAGAACCATGAGCTAAAGCTCTCATTTGATAACAAGAAAGCCATAGCTAAGGCTTGCCTTCAATAATGAGAAAACCATGAACTAGGGCTCACCTTCATTAATAAGAAAACTACGAGCTAGGGCTTGCCTTAAAAAATAAGAGAACTATGAGCTAAAGCTCTCCTTCGATAATAAGAAAGTCAGAGCTAAGGCTTGCCTTCAATAATCAGAAACCACGAGCTAGGGCTCGCCTTAAAAAATAAGAAAACTATGAGCTAAAACTCTCCTTCGATAATAAGAAAGCCAGAGATAAGGCTTGCCTTCAATAATGAGAAAAACACGAATTAGGGCTCACTTTCAAGAATAAGAAAACCACGAGCTAAAACTCACCTTCAATAATGAAAAAAGCATGAGCTAGAGCGCACCTTCAATAATAAGAAAATTACAAGTTAGGGCTCACCTTCAAAAATGAGAAAATCATGAGCTAGGCCCAAGGTGCAAGGACTATGAGCCCACTGGTCCTTCAATTTTACCAATGTCGGTTGGGCATTCAGTCGAGCACTTTGCGTGCATATTGCGAAACTTACTTTCAGAAGCATTTGTAAACCTCAAGACTTAAAATTTTTTAACCTCCAGTAAGGCAATTTGCAGCAGTTCACAACATTATTTTATGGTGTTATCCTCATAAATAAATTCAACAATTTCTTCACAAGTAGAGAGACTTGATGAACCAGCGGTAAAAATAATGGAAACCACAACAACCCATCACATGATCCAACGGGAAGCGAACCAACACTTATTTTACTCCAGTGTTGAGCAAGGCATTCTATTGAACAGGCTTTGCACGATCATTTTCGACATCTTCTGTTGAACATGCTTTGCATGACCATTTTCGATATCGATATTGTGCAATTTTGCAAACTACTACTTCACCCTACAAAAACCGACAACTTTTGAAACCACCTAGATTCTAACTTGTCAGTCAGTGAAAATCGATCAATTTCACAGTAAGTTCAACTTGTATTATTCAGCTGATCATAATCGACGTCGTGTAAACAACGAGACCACATATAACAAACTGATATCGCTAACTAAATTAGCATATTCCTCAGATCGGCAGGCTTTGTAAGACTTTCACAAAAATGTAAGCAATTATAAAGTAGATTGTATATTATAATAGTTTAGCCAAAATTTTATCAAGAAAGTTTAATTTTTAAAGTTCAATTGTGCTTGGAGCTTGCTCCAAATAATAACAGAACCATCAATTACCTTATGAACTTGAAAACATAATTCTCGAATTCATATATCACAATAGATCCATAAATTTTTATTCAAAAGTTATAGCAGATTGAATCCATAATCTCAATTTACCACATAGATCATCAAGTGTGGCGAAGATCGGTAACTCATATTTAGAGTCAATTAATTCTCATAAATTTTAAGTTCGAACATATGATCAGCACTATGCATAGATTAAGAGGGTTAAATTACACCTCATGTCTACAACATAATATCATTTAACAAAAAATGCAGTATTAATTTTTGAAATCAATACGGTCGGATATTAGTTCAGAATTATTTCAAAAAGTTCATTACAATGGAAAATTTCGAACAACGCATTATTGGTTATCATATAAATTTGGAATTTTTTTGATTTTTTATTTTTGCATAAAATTTTCACTTGTAAAGAATTTTTGCATCCAGCATATCAACGTATTATCATTTTCAATGGTGATCCCTAACTTAAACATTTTAGCGAGCAAATGGTGTGTAAGTCTCATTTTTTGAAAATTTTTAGAACCTTACAACCTGATTTCACATCCACCTACTGACCTACGGACACATGCTTGCCTTGAAGCCTGTATGCATATCAAGCTTAGCATTGTCAGATCCTTCACCAACAATTTTATCGTCATCGGCCGCTTCCACAGGAACTATCGGTAGTTGACACCTGGGAGATGCCATCATCTTCTCCAGTTGCTCCTCCTAGAACAAATTTTTTTGTCAATTTTTCCAACTTCCTCTTCTCACAGCAGAATTATGGCCTGCATATGTTTATTAGGCGAGCCTCCAAATCAACCAATTACCGCTTCTCCAAATATTGATTTGTCTTTACCAGCAACTAATAATGGTAAATTACCAAGATTAGACCGAGTTTACGCTTAAATTAAATCATTCAATGAGATCAAATCGAGTGCGAAGGCGATATTTAAATTTGATCTTATCTTCCAATTTATTTTAGTGATGAACAAAACATCAAGTTGGGTGAAAATTGACGTTGGCAAAAAAACATCTAATTGATCATTCCTATCATCTTCCTCGTATTTTTAAGAAAATTATTTGATCGACTTCCCTCACGTCCGTGGTTAACCGCACCGTTTTTCACAGACGGCGCCAATGATGTTACAAAAAATCGTCATCTATTGATTCTCGAGCATGACAATTGAGGATGATAAAGAACGAGACCTCATATACCTAAAACAAAAGCGTTGATGCGTGTCCTCGTCGTCCCTCTAATGCTTTAGTTAGCGAAAGGAGAAATATAAACACAATGCTATAAATTGAATGTAAAAATATACTTGAATAATGGATTAGAACTTGTATTTATAGACGTAAGTTGCACACACTTGATAGGATTATGATATTTGAAGCCTTATTTATTTAAGAGATATAAAAGACTGGAGTATTTCGATATGAGTAGCAGTTGTAAGCTAGTTAGAATCCAATCTTATTGGAGTTGGATAAGTTTGAAGATAGAATTAGAGTCCTACTAGATGATGTCTTTCGAGATAGAGAAGGGGACAAAGGTAAAAACTCGAGGTGATGTGGAATCATCACATGCAGCAATTAAGCTCGACAAGGGAACTCGAGGAAGATACCTTGAGAAAACTCCCAAGATGACCGAAAACAACCTCGGGGCATTGTTGTTCGGGGTTAAACAAAGAATGACCATATCAGCTTCTCTCCATGTGGGAATGGGCCAAAAGTTGTTGATAGAAAAATGTGTATACAAACAAACTTATGCTTTGATGTGGTGGTAAGTATACGTGTTTGCGTGTTTCAGGTGTAGATTTGTGTCTATTAACTTGGAAGAGCAACGCAAAGCTATATTTCTCTCCGTATAAAGAATTATTTATTTTAAAAACTTATTTATGTTTAGGAAGACTTACTTTAAGCAAAATTCTGGAACTAAAGCAAACACACCATAAAGAACCGCATCAAATTCCAATTAAATGTAACCCATTGAATCGACTACTAACAAACAGATAAATAACTAATATTGTCTATGCCCACTGTACTTTATATTTACCATCATATCATCACAACAATTTATAAAACGTGTCAGTCGTGTCCCTCGATTATACTCAGTCGTCTATTAATTAACAAAAAACTCTATGAAAATCAAATCGAAATAGCCAATGGAAACCTTAGGCATACGTTGGGTGATGGTTTGTGAAATTGGATTCTGGGTTAGGTTTTATTTGTGAGATTCAAGGTTTTTAAAAGCTCAAAATGATTTTACATATGATCCATGAGATTTACGCTTGGATGTATTCATTGGAGGAATTGTCAAACAATTTTCCACGTCGGATTTTATTTTTGGTTAAATAATAGGCGCTTGATTAATCTAGTGGATTGACTAATATGTTTTATAAAGTTTGGTAACGAGCCTGCAAAAATTTACGTTCAGTAGTGAAGGTGATAATGCAAAGTACACTCATCGTTGGTGTGATTATCCCACTAAGGAATTTTCCAAAAGAAATAAATAATTGAAGAAATGAAGATATAAAATACAGAGCCTGTCCGGGGTTGACGGTAACGAAAAGTTTATCAACCTTCCGAAGAAGACCAACGGTACACGGAAGACCAATCAACCAACCAAAAATACCCAAAGCACAAAAACTAAAACTTTCATTAGTTAATCAACAAATTAATGATTCTTTTCCATTTTCTTCAACGTGCATAGGTATATGCCTCTCCATTTCCTCGCATGTCTTAGGCTTGTCAATTTTTTTCTTTTTTTCTTCGCGTCATTATCAAACAAAAAAAAAAAAATTGTATATCAGTATCAAATTTTGTTTCTGGGATTTTTGTCCCCTTTTCTTTTATGTTCGAGTTTGATCCTGCTGAAGTTTCCATTTTGGGTTTTTCTTGATTTTCCAAATTTTGCATGAAATTATAGACTTCGTGGGGTGGAGTGTGGTAGGGTGGGGCTTCTTGTTGGCTGTTTTTGGGTTCATAGTGTTGATTATAATTTCTTCATAATGCAGCATTTTTGTTTGTGGGATGTTGTTGTAATTTCAAATTTCTGGGTTATAGCAGAAATTATTTGCCATTGGTAGTTTTATAGAATAAAATGTATTTTTAGCTTATTCCTCTCAAGAAATCTTGTAATTATTTGCCATTTATAATGAATGTTTTTAATTTTCGGAATAGTAAATTTTGTACAGCAGGCTCCTATCATTCAAAAGTAAAGATTGAAGAAAATTCTGTGAATTTTTTTTTTTTTTTTGGGATTTTGAATCTCCTATGACTGAATCCCAGGTTTGTTGTTGCATTTGTTATGCATGACATCGTGTCTGTGTCTGTCCCTCTCTTCTTCTTCTTCATTTCTTTTTTTTTATTTTTATGAATTCGGATAGATTTATCAGGATTGAGAGAGTATGAACAAAATATTACAATATTATATGGAAGCAAATTGTGGTAAGACACAGAGATGAAGTCACGAAAACACACATATTTAGGCGATTGTGCTTTGAACGAAATTTGAAACAGAGATTATGATCTAATTTATCCAAAACTGTGTGGATTCTTTGCTCGTTGTGTATATAACTATATATTGACATTTTTACTTCGAGGCCCTTCTAGCTACGACTTTAGATGCCTTCTATTTGTCGCGGACATTGATATGTATGTGTGTGTATATATATAGTTGAAATTTGAGGCATTGCAGTTGATGTGCTAGACAGAGTTCCGTTATGGATCGTCAAGTCAAAGACCATGTTAGATTCAACAATTCAATTTTATCTAGTGGCGATGTTTTTGAACCCAGTTCAAGCAATGGTGAGGCTGACGATGCAAAATGTTTTATTTCCCCCATTTTGACGCTTATAACACCGTCGACTGAGACTTTTCCGCCCCTTGCGCTGATTTTTTTTTTTTTTGCTTCTGCAGCTAAGCAGAGGTCAACTTTGGTGGAATGGTTAAACAGCGTTCTTCCGGATTTAAGTTTGCCAATAAATGCTTCAGACGAAGAATTACGAGGATTCTTGATTGATGGCACTGTTCTGTGTCGAATCCTGAACAAACTAAAACCTGGTTCAGTGACTGAGGTATTTCAGAATTTAATAGGCCTTAAATAAAGGGGTATGAATTTATTAATTTCCTTAATTTTCTGTTCCAGTTTAATGGTTCTGCTCATTCTTCACATTCACCCATGGGAAATGTCCAAAAGTTTTTGTCAGCTATGGACGAAATGGGGCTGGCAAGATTCCGAGCAGCAGACCTGGAAAAGGTAATTAGCATTGACAGAATTAAGTTCATATGTTGCGCATAACATTTGAAGCATTTTGTTGCTGTTTCTCGGTAAAATTGTGATACTCTTACATTTTATAGGGATCTATGAAAATCATACTAGACTGCCTTTTAAAGCTTCAAACGCAATTTACGCCAAATGTTAGGAGATCAAATGGAACTGATGCCAGTAAAAGTTGGAAACTTATAGGAAAATGCTTAGGGAGTCGTGAGGGTTCTCCAGGGGAAGATCCTTTTCGATCGCTCTCTCTTTCATCCCCAACTTCTGAAGAGAGGCGGAGAGTCTTATTGTCAGACTCAAAGTTTCAGCGGGCATTAAATAGTACCACATTGGCAGGTGCTGCTTCTCTAAAAGTGTTACATATTTTGAAAGCAACTCTATTCTGATTGAAAAAATAAGTAAATTACATTCAAACTTTAAATGCTATAAAACTTAGTTGCTTTGAAACTAATTTATTTACTTACAAGTAAACATATTATTTATTTTTATTTTGGTGGCATGTAGATTCATCAGCTGCACTTATAAATCACGTCGGACACAAGTTTCATGAAGTTTTTCAGCTCAAGCATGTATCTTACACGGATCTCTCTCCTGGAAAGCTTTCAGAAATGATGAAATCAAACAGTTTGGATGTAAGTATGCTAACTTGTATTCATGGCAATGGACATGATTTGACCTAACTATTACAAATTTTTTTTTTTTTTGTGCATAAAATTCAAACTCTTTCTCCTTTAACTCGTTCAATTTTTCTATCTCGTGCAGAATGCCCCTACTCAATCACTTTTAAGTGTTGTGAATAGTATTCTAGATGAAAGCATTGAGCGCAAGAATGGGGAAATACCTCATGTATGATAATAAGGCTCCTTATAAAAAAAATTCAAATAATTCTATTTGCTCATTGATCTTACGCAATCCTTTAACATTCTGTAATTTGTTAATATTCTCAGCGCGTTGCTTGCCTATTGAGAAAAGTTGTGCAGGAGATTGAGCGACGAATATCTACTCAAGCAGAACACCTGAGAACGGTAGTACTATGCAGGTTTTTGATTTTTGTTGTGGATCATAATAATTCGACAACTCACCTCTTCTGTGTTTTCCTCTTTCGTGCAGCAAAACAATCTTTTAAAGGCCCGCGAGGACAAGTACCAATCAAGAATTAGAGTTCTCGAAGCCCTTGCAACAGGGACTGGTGAAGAGACACGGGTAAAAGAATTTCCCATTTCGGCGTAGCCTCTAATTTCTATTTTTACTTTTTGCATGTGTGTGTATTCTCAGAATCTCATTGTTCCTACTTGCCAAATGCGGCTTTCTTTCTTTTTATAGCAGATCGTTATGAATCAGCTCCAACATATTAAGGTATAATATAGTATTCGAGCCTTTCTTTTAATGTCTTGTTCCTAGATCTTATTCTTTCATGCCTTCTGCCTGTTTATGTTTGAGCATTGATTTTCAGGGTTCAAAATATCCTTAAATCTCTTTAAGCTCCTCTATTTAGTAAAATACTTTTTACCTATCATACTTGCATGCAAAACTTGCACACGTGAACAAGAGATCTGATAATTACCAGATACATAGGCAATACTGAAGATTTGAAATTTGAATTCTTTTTCTATGAACTTATATTCTCCTTCTTTGAACACCTTAATATTTTGTAAAATGCAGTATATGATCACCACCTAATGTCTGGACTTGTACATGCCTATCGACCAAAAGCTTAAGTTGTTTAGAGATGTATTTATTTAGTTAAATTTGGTCATCAACACATCTCCTTAGGTGCAGTTCGGATTCATTTTTTTATCAAATTTATGACACGTGAACAATTTTCCTAAATGGTTGGCTGCGAGAGTTGAACTAGGGACCTTTGTGATACCATGTTGAATCATGTAATCTAAAAAATTAAGCCGACAGATGGGATAGAGAGGGGCATATTAACTTATATGAATTGTCTTCATCATCACGATGGGTGCTGGTTATGCTATAGGTTTTCACTATATGAATGGGATTTTGATTAAATCTATTATTCACGTGAAGTTGCTTTGGCTGAGTTAATTTTCAGTGACTTTGTTTTGTTCCCTAACTTCAACACCACAGAGTGAGCAGAATAAGATCGAAGAGAGAAAGAAAGTCGAGGAGCAAGATGCGATAAAATTGACGAAAGAGAAAGATGATCACAATCAAGAGATTGTGGCCTTGAAGCAAGAACTGGAAATAGCTAGGAAAACATATGAACAGAAATGTTTACAAATGGAAACAGAATCTACAGGATCTCACCAAGAGCTCGAGGAGAGGTTGAAGGAACTTGGGAACCTTCTAACTGAGTCGAGAAATAAAGTGAAAGTACTCGAAGCAAATTCTGAATCAAAATTCAAACTGTGGAACAAGCAAGAACACAATTACCGTAAATTTACGGAATTCCAGCTTGGTGCACTACGTGTATGCCATTATATTATGCCAATTTCCTTTTCATTTAGTAATTCCTATATAGCATGTAAAATATTATTCAATATTGCATGCCAAACATACCTTAACGTATTATCTTGATACTGATCAATAAAAAATTTCAGGAACTCAGGACGGTATCTCAATCTATCCGGCAAGAGACTGTTAGAATAGAGAGGAGCTATTCGGAGGAATTCGGTCAATTAGGTTAAAAATCTGCTTCTTGAAAAATTATTCAATTTACTTGTCAAAATTCGATAATAAACCAGCGAAAACATATCTAATTTACAGTGGTTCTGTGATAATTAATTTGAGTATATTACCTTTTCATTACAGGGACGAGAATGCAAGCTTTGGAAGAAGCATCCAAAAACTATTATACACTTCTTGCTGAAAACCAAAAACTACATAATGAGCTTCAAGAACTAAAAGGTGCCGCATATTGTTAATCCAGTTCCATTTGAAAATGAATAAATGCATTGTGCAATGTCAACATCATGTTATTTTCAATAGGAAACATTAGGGTCTATTGCCGGATAAGGCCATTTCTGCCTGGGCAGGCAGGGAAACAGTCAATTATTGAATACATTGGTGAAAATGGTGAGCTAGATGTTTTAAATCCTTCCAAGCAAGGAAAAGAAGGCCGTCGTTCGTTTAAGTTCAACAAAGTGTATGGCCCAACAGCAACGCAAGGTTTGATTTTTTATTTCGCGGCATATCATACTATGAGTGTGTTTGGTAAAGATTTCTGTAGATTATATAAGCTGTGGATTGTTTGACCAGCTTATAAGTTTGAAAAAGCTAAGGCAAACAACCACTACATGAAAAGTTACTTATTATTACTTTGATCTTTCTTCATTTTCTTTCTTGTATGCTCATATGACATGTCAAATGTTGGCAGAGGAAGTATTTGTGGATACGCAGCCCTTGATACAATCAGTTTTGGATGGATATAACGTATGTATATTTGCATATGGTCAGACTGGTTCTGGGAAAACCTACACCATGGTATGAAAAAGAGTTTGCTTGTGTATCTGTGAATCCATGTATATGTTATGTTGCATATCTTCAATTCACATTGCATTTCTGAAATGAACATACTGTTCTCCAGACTGGCCCTGATGGAGCAACCGAAAAGGATTGGGGGGTCAATTACCGAGCTTTAAACGATCTTTTCCGCATTTCACAAGTTAGGAAGACTACGTTTACGTATGAAATTTCTGTCCAAATGATGGAAATATACAATGAACAAGTCCGTGATTTGCTCACAAGTGACGGTTCACAAAAAAGATATCCTTCTTTATGCAGTCATTTCATAATTTCGATTTTTTGACTTGCCAATAGATACCCCTATTTTCCTCTATCGCCGTTATAATTTCATTCTGAAGACTTCATTTTTATAACACATCTCATGGTTTTAGTATATCAATTGCCGACACCTCATCTAAAAGTTTAAGTCGTTAGCAAACAAATTCATTTAGTTAAATTGCCTTCAACATGCCCCAACCGATGGAGGCAAGATTCTTTTTTTAGACAAAAGCCTAATACGTGCACAATTTTCTTAAATGGTGCAGAATGCTTTTATTTAGAGCTCGTTTGGGAAGTGTTTATAAACAATTTTGGTTATAAATAGATATAAATTAGTGGTGGATAAGTGAATAGTGCTTAGGGGTCACATGAAATGTGTGGATAAAAATTGGCTTTGACTATTTATAAAAAGTTTATAAACACTTTCCAAACTCATTTATTCTTCTATGTCAAAATTTGTTTTTCTTGATTTGCACACGCTTGGGATTGTATCTACATCCCAACCCAATGGGTTAGCCGTTCCAGACGCTTGCATTCAGTTTGTCAACTCCCCCTCTGATGTATTGGAACTGATGGATATTGGACTAAAGAATCGAGCTAGAAGTTCAACTGCCTTAAACGAAAGAAGCAGTAGATCACACAGGTTTTCTACCAAAAACACAGATAGTTATCTTTTCCTTAAATTGTTACTTCGCTGTATAATGCTTATTTAATGACAAGACACGTGTATACAGCATTGTAACCATTCATGTCCGGGCTGTCGATCACAAGAGCAATTCTTCTTCGCGTGGCAGTCTTCATTTAGTAGATCTTGCAGGAAGTGAAAGAGTCGACCGTTCTGAGGTAACAGGGGATAGACTGAAAGAGGCACAACATATAAACAAATCTTTATCTGCCCTTGGAGATGTAATCTCGGCATTGGCACAAAAAAGCGCTCATGTTCCATATAGAAACAGCAAGCTTACTCAAGTCCTTCAAAGTTCATTAGGTACACTTCTAATACATGTTTGATACGAATATTTTAGTATTTTTCGCCCTTAATGCTCGAGTGCTATCCGATCATTCATACCAAACATGCCACTCATTTTTTGTTTCACGAGGATAGATACTTTTTGTTATTTTTTTAAGTGATTGTTGAGTCTACAGAATCTTCCCTTTGTCTCATAATCAATCCGAACCATATCTCAGTTTTCATATGCAGTTTAAATATCTTCATTCTACAGGAAGCTATGTATATTTCTTGCTTTTTTCCGTTGGATTTCTGTAATCCGATCACGAAGAATCAAGAATCAATTAAATATATACCATTAAACCAGTCAATAGATATCATAGAAAACTGCTGAGAGTATACACTAAACTGAATGTAATGATGAAGTTAATGAAATTTGCATTAGTATGAATTTTCTAAATGGACGGATTGTGACCAGTTTGGATCCGAACTTTTCTATTGTGAAGTTGATGCTTGTAGGGTGTATTCAGAATTCGTGTGCAATTTAGGATATACCTAGAATTTAAGGTCAACAAACCTTGAGGTTTTGATACAACACCAGTTTATGTCTAGTTTGAGTTTTGTATACTTTCAACATCTCAACTTGAATCGTCCCCATTGACCAGGAACAAGTTTTTGACCAAGGATTTGAAAGTGGGAACTTTTGTACAAGTATCCAAAATCAGTCTACTGATAAACGGCCCACGTTCACCATACACAAGGCAACATTGAAATTCTAAGAGTAGAAAACTTACTCAATATGAGATGCATGGAGTACATACCTCCTTGTTTCTCGTTTTTGATTCATGTGAGATGTGCTTTTCATTAATGTGTTGAACTGAATAAGTTGAAATAGACTATTATTGATGGTGTCCGTGTTATTCCTTTTTGTTTCATAATAATCTGAAAATTGGATTTGTAATGAAGTTTTTATTTTATGGAAAAGGAAATGAAAACATAGAGAGGCTAGTAAATTCACTTAGCCCCCGTTTGACCTCCATTAAATTTACAATACATTTTTCTTTTTTCTTTTTAACCGCACATTTTCCAATAAAATAATATTACACATAAATCAAAAATTTTTCCTTCTTTTTCAATCACACATTCTCCAAAAAAACACTATTCCTAAAATTATAACATCAAATAATGGGAGCCAAACGGGGCTTAACATGGATACATCTCATTATTGGACTGTACGGGATTCTGGTTTTGCATCAATATAATGACTTTCGCTTCTGTGGCACACAGGTGGCCATGCAAAGACGCTTATGCTTGTGCAGCTTAATGCTGATGTTACTTCGTGTAGTGAATCCATAAGTACCTTAAAATTTGCGGAAAGAGTTTCTGGAGTTGAGCTTGGTGCCGCCAAGAGCAGCAAAGATGGCCGGGATGTCAGAGAATTGATGGAACAGGTACTCATTTTCTATGCATAACTTTTTATATCTTAGTCTGATCAAAATTTTTTACGTTCTGGTGGAGACGATAAAAACACCTGAAAACCACAATTGGCTTATTATTTATGTTTGGCAAAAAAGAAGCTTAAAAGTAAATTTAGCTTCTTTTAAACTAAAAATTAAGCTTGTTCTCTGCAGGTTGCATCTCTTAAAGACGCCATAGGTAAAAAAGACGAGGAGATCGAGAGGCTGCAGCTACTTAAAGATCTCAAAAATGTGTCCCCTTCGATGAGGTATGGATCTACTTCTCCGAGCAAAAATTCCACAGTTGGGACTCCTCAGAGAAGCTTAAAAATGTCGAAAGGCTCGGAAAAAGCAGCTTCTAATGAGGAAAACTACTCCGAGGGTAGTGATAAGCATTCTGTAATTAGTTTACGGAAAGAATCTCTTGGGCGGTCAAATAGTTTAGGATATGGCAATGCAGATAATGAAGAGAGACTTGGTGATAAATCTAAGAGCGTTCTTTCTATGGGAACAAAAACTGAAGGAAGCAGTCTTTTTCCGGAGGAAGCAAAACCGGCAAAAAATAATGATTTGTAAGTACTCTGAAATCATCATCTCGTGAATATTTTTGGTTTCCGTCGAACACTTAAAAATGGGATATCCTGTGATGTGATAATATTAGAATTGTCTGAACCTCATTTGTAGCTATGTACACAACATGTGTGTACGTTTCTTATGGTTGTTTTTGAACCTTTTTTGTGGCTGCACACATGCGCATTGGTCTGAAAAAAGATGCCAAACGCAAAATTGAACCGAATCATTGGTTTGGGTCCACATGGACCCAGTCAACATTCGGTTTTGAACCAAACCAAACCACTTAGAAATTGTTTGGTTTAGGTTTCGATACTTAAACCATTTGAAATTGAACTGAACCGCTTATTAAAAAAAATAGAAATCTACTTAGTATAAAGAAATCTAATTTATTTGCTCCATCAAAATTCATTATTCACTATATTATTCTAAAGGTTTGGGCTACTGGTGAGTAAAATGAGGCGTTGATGGTATTAATAGCGTTGAATTTCATTAATTGGCTTTTTAAGCAAACTTAGTTAATCGTTATGATTACATTTTGTATTATTTTTATAGCTTTAAAGTTGCATTAATTATAATATATTGTAACATTTTATGTTTTGAAAGTTTCATTTTAAGCTTTGCATTGGATTTTAGACAAATTTTTTTTTTGTGGCTTGTTTGAAATCCATTACTTTTATGTCGCTAAGTAAATGTGGCTTTAAAACCGAACTGAATAGCAAAAAATGGTTTGGTTTGGAAATTTTCCAAGCCGTTTAAAAATGATTTGATTTGAAAATAGGTCAAAAACAGTCCAAACTGAATCATGTTCCGAATGTACTAACACACAACTCCTTGATTGTATTTTCATCAAGTTGTCAAAGATTCAATGTTTTGCTCAAACATAAAGAAAAAGTATACAAGTTCTAGATATGTATTAATGTAGGTCATCATATCCTATAATCTTGTGTGATGAATTTTTTCAGACCTAAATCAGCAGCTAGAACTCTGTGACCCCTGGTAATATCGGCGAGGGATTCTCCCAATGGACAAACTGGTATGAATTGATTATGCTGCATTATATTTAAACTCTGTTCTTATAATGAGCCAGTTTCTAAATATTTTTTTCGTTTCATTAAGGTAAACTCATATTTGTTGTTCTACGGAGTTGAGAAAATCTGCCAGTGGAACGAATTTATCGAGCAAGTCTTCAAGAAGATGGCAATGATATTAAAAGTGTTGTGTTTTTTTTTTTTTGTCTTTTTCTTTTCCTTTGTGCAATATGATCACTATTTTGATCTACCAGCACCATTATTTCTTTTCTTTCCAATTCACTGTGTACAGGTTAAAATATTTCTTTCTTTTTTTCTCTCTCTCTTTCTCTCTGTTTTTTTTTGAACTTATAATTGTTTGTAAGTGTATCATATAGTCCTTTTTATGGCAGTTTTGTAATCTTCTTTGGAGGTTTTATTTAACCTTTTTGAGTTTGTAATAAAAACTGTATAGTTCTGGAAAATTGTACTTCTAGCAACAGCTTATACCATGCAAATAAAAGTAGAAAATTGATTTCTAGCTTAATTAAACTTGTTGCATTTACATGTTTGAACATAATAACGAACGAGATATGATATAGTACTGACTAATGAATCAAAGGTGATGGTTCCATCCAAATCTTGATAAAGGCCATTTTATTACAATGTAGGAGAAAATAATCCATTTCTGTACTAGTTTTAGAAAACAAGACAACGTGGTAAGTGTTGGAAAATAATGGACGAACACAGACTTGATAGTCATAGTTGCTTATAGACATGAGAGTAATGAATCAAAAGACGATATTTGTTCATTCTAAATCTCGATAAAGTCCATTTTATTGCAAAACATAGTAGAAAAAAAATTCAATTTTGTTCTAGTTTCAAAAGACAAGATAATTGTTTGGGTTTTATTGTTAATTATGGCCATGTTTGGGAGGAATTAGATTTTTCTACGGTAAATCAATTCTCATTTTCAATCACACATTCTTCAATAAAATAATATTTTCCATCACATCAATAATTTTTTGTTCTTTTTCAACCACACATTTTCCATCATATCACTATTCAAAATCAATTCTTCCCCTAAAAATCTCTCCCAAAGAAGCTCTATATCTAATTTTCTACTGAAATAAACAAATAAAGTCCATGAATTTATCAAATCACAAAAGGCACTAGGATACCAAATTCACCATTGTTAACGTACTTCAATCCTCAACCACACTATCATTTAATTATTATTTTAAGTTGACAATAGATATATATTGATTTTATCTCTCGAAGTGAATTAAACTAATTTCTATCTACAAGCCAACTATATCTCAATGAAGGATGCCATTTGATAAAGATGCAAAAACAAATCTAGAATATCAATAAAGATTGCATTAAGTATAGAATTATATGTTAGAGAAATGCTATTCATCCTCATTGGGGATGCATCCCCAGTTTATGTGGCGTTAATGTGGCATTAAATGATAGGTGAAATTAAATAAGTAATTTAATTTCATCTATCATTTAACCAATCATTTACATCCACATAGACTGGGGATGCATCCCCACTGGGGATGAATAGCATTTTTCTATATGCTATCTTCTATAGGACCTAGGTTATTTATTATCAATATTATCACAAATCCCAAAACGCAATCCTAAATTGGCCAAATAATAAGATGTCAACTAACAATCACAAGAATTTAATTAAAAACAAGTAATTTATTAGATTAAAAAGTTATCAAGGTTTCATCAAAATCCTAGCAACAAAAGTTTAAACGTGAGTTCATAACCTGGATAACTTAGAAGAAAAGTTGGATAAAACCCTTAATCTTGACATTGATCTCGGATGACAACTTCCTCTTCAAAATCATCTTGTTGGAATCTACAATCTCACATTGAAGCCTTAGAATTGAAGGCTCAAGAAGCAAAGGAAAGAAACCGTGTTTGTTCAAACAAATGAACTGGAATTCAGCTGGAAACAGAGCAGCTGGAAGTGGACTGGAAGAATTGAAGCTGAATTAGTTTTAGTTGGTTTGTTAGTTTTGTTAGTTAGCACACATGTCTACATTGTGCTGGTTTGTATAAATTCAATTGGTTAGTTTGTTAGATAGAATCTTTTCTTTACTCTATTTATGTCACAACAAATGCATTGTAATCGTCATGTTTTTCAAATAGAAAAATTCATATTGAATTTCTCTCAAGATTTCTTCCCTTTTTTATTGCTTTCTAAATTCCAGATTAAGGAAATTTACATGGTATAAGAGCTTCTGCATTTCTACTGCCCCTTCTTTCTGATCCTCATTAAACACGGCAAATCCTTCTGGTGATTCTTCCAGCCCCTACTATCTTCATCCCAGTGACAATTCTGGTGCTCTCCTGGTTTCTGAAATCTTCACCGGTGAGAATTATGTTGCTTGGAGTCACTTAATCAAAATTGCCCTAATTGTGAAAAATAAAATTGGCTTCATTGATGGGAGCTTAACACAAGCTGGTCCTGATGATGCTCTTCTTCAGGTTGCTTGGCTACGAGCAAACAATCTTATGTTATCATGGCTTATGACCTCCATTGAAAAGGAAATTCGTGGTAGCCTCCTTTATTTTACCAATGCCTTCGACATCTAGGATGAGCTTCAAGTTTGATATCTTCGCAGTGATGGCCCTCATGTATTTACCTTGGAGAAGTCTCTGAGTTCTATTTGCCAAAGATCGAAGTCTATAACTGAGTACTTTATTGATTTCAAGACTCTTTGGGATGACTATATTAGCTACTGTCCTCTTCCACCTTGTACCTGTGGAATTTTAGATACAGATTCATCCCCAATCTATGTGGCGTTAATGTGGCATTAAATGATATGTGAAATTAAATAAGTCATTTAATTTCACCTATCATTTAATCAATCATTTACATCCACATAGATTGGGGATGCATCCCCACTAGGGATGAATAACATTTTTCTATATGTTATCTTCTATAGGACCTAGGTTATTTATTATCAATATTATCACAAATCCCAAAACGCAATCCTAAATTGGCCAAATAATAAGATGTCAACTAACAATCACGAGAATTTAATTTAAAACAAGTAATTTATTAGATTAAAAAGTTATCAAGGTTTCATCAAAATCCTAGCAACAAAAGTTTAAACGCGAGTTCATAACCTGGATAACTTAGAAGAAAAGTTGGATAAAACCCTTAATCTTGACATTGATCTCGGATGACACCTTCCTCTTCAAAATAATCTTGTTGGAATCTACAATCTCACATTGAAGCCTTAGAATTGAAGGCTCAAGAAGCAAAGGAAAGAAACCGTGTTTGTTCAAATAAATGAACTGGAATTAAGCTGGAAACAGAGCAGCTGGAAGTGGACTGGAAGAATTGAAGCTGAATTAGTTTTAGTTGGTTTGTTAGTTTTGTTAGTTAACACACATGTCTACATTGTATTGGTTGGTATAAATTCAATTGGTTAGTTTGTTAGATAGAATCTTTTCTTTGCTCTATTTATGTCACAACAAATGCATTGTAATCGTCATGTTTTTCAAATAGAAAAATTCATATTGAATTTCTCTCAAGATTTATTCCCTTTTTTATTGCTTTCTAAATTCCAGATTAAGGAAATTTACATGGTATAAGAGCTTCTGCATTTCTACTGCCCCTCCTTTCTGATCCTCATTAAACACGGCAAATCCTTTTGGTGATTCTTCCAGCCCCTACTATCTTCATCCCAGTGACAATTCTGGTGCTCTCCTGGTTTCTGAAATCTTCACCGGTGAGAATTATGTTGCTTGGAGTCACTCAATCAAAATTTCCCTAATTGTGAAAAATAAAATTGGCTTCATTGATGGGAGCTTAACACAAGCTGGTCCTGATGATGCTCTTCTTCAGGTTGCTTGGCTACGAGCAAACAATCTTATGTTATCATGGCTTATGACCTCCATTGCAAAGGAAATTCGTGGTAGCCTCCTTTATTTTACCAATGCCTTCGACATCTAGGATGAGCTTCAAGTTCGATATCTTCGCAGTGATGGCCCTCATGTATTTACCTTGGAGAAGTCTCTGAGTTCTATTTGCCAAAGATCGAAGTCTATCACTGAGTACTTTATTGATTTCAAGACTCTTTGGGACGAGTATATTAGCTACTGTCCTCTTCCTACTTGTACCTGTGGAATTTTAGATACTTGTGATTATGATATTCTAAAGAATCTTGTTGACCGCCAACAAGCAGACTATGAGATGAAGTTCTTGATTGGATTACACGATTCTTACTCAGCCTTACGAAGTCAATTGCTACTTTCTTCTCTACTACCATCTATGAGCAAGGTCTTTTCTTTGTTGTTGCAAGAAGAAAGCCAGAGTTCTTTGACCAATGCAGTTGGCATTCTCCTTGACTCCCATGCCATGGCTGCTGCACAACACTCCAAGTCTTCCAATGGTTTCAAATTCACCAAATTCAAAGGAAAATCTATATTCTTTGTTCTCATTGTGGATATCATGGTCATCTTGCTGACAAATGCTTCCAAGTCATAGGCTATCTGCAAGGATGGAGAGGTACTAGGGGGAAAAGATCTCTTCCAACACAATTTGGAAGTGTTTTCAATCGACAAACACCTAATGCTCATGTTGCTTCTTCTGTGGCACAAAATTCAACAGTCCCAAATATGTTTTTCACTCAAGAGCAATTTCAAAATCTGCTTACACTTGCAAATAGCCTACCTACCTCTACCATCAATCCTAGTGCTGCAATAAATACTACTTCTACTTCAAGTAATCAGTTTGCCCATCTATGTCATGTTGCTTCTTCTTTCGCTAATCACTTACCTTGGATCATTGACACTAGAGCAATAGATCAAATGATATGTTCTCCACACCTTTTCACTTCAATTCATCAACCTATTAAACCTTCTCTAGTTCATTTACCAAATGGTCAGTATGTCCCTATTAAATTTACTGGAACAGTGATTCTTTCGTCTGATTTGGTCTTGTATAATGCTCTT